AGGTGGAAGTTGCAGTGAGCCAAGATCATGCCACTGCACTCCTGACTAGGCAAAAGAGTGAGACGCTGTGCCCCACAAAAAAATTAGCAGGGCGCGGTGGAACATGATGGTCATCCCAGCTTCTTGGGAGGCTGAGGCACCGGAATTGTTTTAACCTGGGAGGTGGAGGTCGCGTTGAGCCAAGGTCATACCATTGCAATCCAGCCTGGGCAACAGAGCAAGACTCTGTCTCAAAAAAATTAAAAAATGAAATCCGTGCTGAGCTCCCGAGACGTATGTGGACCTCAGTCCATTTTTGGCCAGCCCCTAGCTTAGAGGAATGTTCTTCTGAGAGTCGGGTCACCTGCCACATTCTTCTGCCAGCTCACAGTGTGACCCCGAAGCCGGTTAGCTTACCTCCCTGGCTCTAGATTTTGTCACACGAAAAATGAAGGGGTTAGATCTCAAACATGTCAAATACTAGGCCCTTCCCTTCCTTCTGCACACAGCAGACACCCACAGTCACTCATGGCGTTCTTTCCCACTGAGTTACGTTCAAGCAGCCCTCCAAATGACTGCTGCCAGTGGACTGGAGTTGAGCAAGAAATGGCATCTCGTTGCTTTTCTGTGACTCCGTGTTTCCTAAGATCACTTCTAGTTCCAGTGCCCCTGCATTCTGCCTTGTACGTCATATTCTTCTTACACCCGATTCCCTTGACTTTACCAGGATGTGTTGACAAACTTGGTCTCTTTTATTTCTCTTCAAATTTCTTGTTGTATTTTTAGTAGAGATAGGGTTTCTCCATATTGGTCAGGCTGGTTTTGAACTCCCAACCTCAGGTGATCCACCCACCTTGACTTCCCAAAGTGTCAAAGTGTTGGGATTACAGGCATGAGTCACCATACCCAGCCTTTTTTTTTTTTTTAGAGACCAATTCTCACTCTGTCACCCAGGCTGGAGGGCAGTGGCATGATCTCCGTTCACTGCAGCCTCTGCCTCCCTGGTTCAACTGATTCTCCTGCCTCAGTCTCCCAAGTAGCTGGAACTACAGGTGCAAGCTGCCATGACAAGCTAATTTTTGTATTTTTAGTAGAGATGGGGTTTCACCATGTTGCCTAGGCTAGTCTTGAACTCCTGAGCTCAGGTGATCCACCTGCCTTGGCCTCCCAAAGTCCTAGTATTACAGGCATGAGCCACCACGACCATCCTTTTTCTTTTTTTTGAGATGGAGTCTCACTCTATCACCCAGGCTGGAGTGCAGTGGTGCCATCTTGGCTCACTACAACCTCCGCCTCCCAGTTTCAAGTGATTCTTGTGCCTCAGCCTCCTGAGTAGCTGGGATTACAAGTACATACCACCATACCTGGCTAATTTTTGTATTTTTAGTAGAGATGGGGTTTCACTATGTTAGCCAGGCCAGTCTTAATCTGACCTCAGGTGATCCACCCACCTCAGCCTCCCAAAGTGCTGAGATTATAGGCATGAGCCACTGTGCCCAGCCAATAGTTTGTTCTCATACATAACTTAGTATTCAGTTGTGCAGATGCACATAATGGGTAAATCAGTCTGTTCACTTGCTAATAGATATCTGGCTTACCTCCAGTTTGGGTTACCACAAACAAAGTAGCTAAGAATGTTCCTGTATCAGTCTTTTATAAACATATATTCTCAGCTCTCTTGGGTGGACGTTTGGGAAGGGAGTGGCTGGCTGTATGGTCACTATGTCTAACTTAAAAAAAAAACAAAAACAAAAAAACTGCCAAACTCTTCCAGAGTCACAGAAGCATTTTATAGTCATGCCAGCAGAAACCACAATCCAAAATGGCCCTAAGATCTAAGAGGCCATACACAAAAAAAGAGGACATAAAACCATTACACACAAACCAATGAAGCATTGGGCTTTCAAACCCAAAGGTAGAAGCAGGGAGATCGCTCACATCTGCCTTTTTTTTCCTTTTTTTTTTTTGAGATGGACTCTTACTCTGTCCCCCAGGCTGGAGTGCAGTGGTGCAATCTCAGCTCACTGCAATCTCTCCTTCCCAGGTTCAAGCAGTTCTTATGCCTCAGTCTACCAGGTAGCTGGGATTACAGGCAAGTACCACCACACTCAGTTAATTTTTGTATTTTTAGTAGACACGGGGTTTCACCATGTTGGTCAGGCTGGTCTCAAACTCATGACCTCCTCCCACCTCCACCTTCCAAAATGCTTTGATTATAGGCATGAGCCACTGTGCCCCAGCACACCTGACTTTTGAGAGAAAGTCACTCAAGGGTGAAGAAATGTTGTAAAGGGGTCCAAGAAGCCATGCAGACCCCCAAGCCCAGGCCTCCCTCACCTGGGTCCCTGAGCCTAGGAAACCCAGCAGCCCAGAACTGCACGGGCTGCATTTCCTTCTCCATTACCTAAAGGGATCTGTGTGCAAAGGGCCACACCAGGAAATTCCAGCCTAGGACAGGGTTGTTCTTGTCACTGTCTCCAGTTCCACAGGGGTTACAGGTGCCAGATCTGGCTTATGCCTCTGGTAATTAAGCAAGTAATCCATCTGTCAATGTCCCCAGGAAATGACGCCCTGGCCCCAAGCTGAGTATCTCTAAACACCAGGGTACTCACAGAGCCAGCCCACTTTCAGGTGGCCCGCTTTCAAGCCCAATGAGTCAGTTCTCACCACACCCTCCCTGGCAAGATGGAAGTGTAGAGACGAATAAATACAACTTGCACAACTAAAACCTGCCCAGCATTTACTCAGGACTAGGGCACAGCTTATTATGATATTTATCTCACTGAATTTTCAGAAAATGCTCAGGGTAATAAATGGAGGCTCATGCCTGTAATCTCAGCACTTTGGGAGGCCAAGTTAGGTGGATTGCTTGAGCTCAGGAACCCAAGAACAACCTGGGCAACATGGCAAGATACCATCTCTACAAAAAAAAAAAAAAAAATTAGCCAGGTGTGGTGGCGCATGCCCATAGACCCAGCTACTCGTGAGGCTGAAGCAGGAGGATAACTCCAGCCTAGGCGATGGAGGCTGCAGTGAGCTGAGATGGCACCACTGCACTCCAGCCTGGACAAAAGAGTGAGACCCTGTGTCAAAATAATAGAGGCTCCCAGTGAGGCATGAAAAAACTTCATGGACAGGCCTTGAGGTGCCCACCCAGGTCTCCCTGCCTTCACTCTCATCCCTAATATTCACCTTCCCCAGGGCAGCCTGGGTTATTATAAACCAGAACTCAGCTGTGTATGGTGGATCACACCTGTAATCCCAGCTACTTGGGAGGCTGAGGCAGGAGGATCTCTAAAAGCCATGAGTTGGAGACCAGCCTGGGCAACATAGTGAGACCTGTCTCTATTAAAAATAAATAAAAAGGCCAAGCACAGTGGCTCACACCTATAATCCCGGCACTTTGGGAAGCTGAGGCAGGCGGATCCCCTGAGGTTGGCAGTTTGAGACCAGCCTAACCAACATGGAGAAACACTGACTTTACTCAAAATACAAAAATAGCCAGGTGTGGTGGTACATGCCTACAATCCCAGCTACTAGGAAGGCTGAGGCAGAATAGCATGAATCCAGGAGGCAGAGGTTGTGGAGAGCCAAGATTGCACCACTGCACTCCAGCCTGGGTGACAAGAGTGAAACTCTGTCTCAAAAAAAATACAGGTATAAAATAATAACTAAGTCAGCATGGTGGTGCACACCTGTAATCCCAGCTACTTGGGAGGCTGAGGAACAAGAATAGCTTGAACCTAGGCAGTGGAGGTTGCAGTGAGCTGAGATGATACCATTGCACTCCAACCTGGTGACAGAGCAACACTGCATCTCAAAAAAAAAAAAAAAAAAAAAAAAAAAAAAAAGAGTATATGTGTTTTGTTCTACTTCCTGAACCCTCAGGGACTAAACATCGCTAACCACAATAACAGCGGTCAGTTTCACCTGCTCAGTGAATTAAGAGCCAGGTCAGTGGAGGAGCTTCTTAATTCAAACTCTGTCCCCCTCCCAAGGCTCTGCCTCTCCCATGGTATCTCCAACAACCTGCTTGCTTGGCAAGCTCCAGTTAACACAAAAGTGGGCATCCTTCTTCCATGAAAGGAAGCCGAGCCAAGCAATCAGCAGAGGTGTTGGTGATGAGGAATGCTGAAGTCCATGTTACAAATGTGGCCTTCATAGCAGGCAGAACACTGCAGGTGAGGCTGAAGGAATCCAGGTGATAGATGATAGGTGATATTAGGGGTCAACTTGACGGGGTTAAGGAGTACCCAGATGGCTGGGTGTGTGCCTGTGAGGGTGTTTCCAGATGAGACTGTCATTTGAATCAGTGGACTCAATAAGGAGGATCCATCTTCACCCCATGTGACTGGGTACCACCCAATCAGCAGAGGGTGCAGACACAAGAAAAAGTCAGAAAAATGGTAAATTCATGTGATTTATCTTCTGCAGCCAGGATGTCATCCTCTCTTGCCCCTGGAAATCAGAACTCCAGAACTGGCCTCTGGGACTTACCCCAGTCATTCCAGGTTCTCAGGCCTTTAGTTGTGGACTGAGAATTCCACTGTCAGCTTCCCTGGGTCTCAGATCTTTGGACTTGGCCTGAGCCATGCTACCAGCTTCTTGGGTCTCCAGCTTGCAGATGGCCTAGCGTAGGACTTCTCCATAATCACATGATCCAGTTTCCCTAGTAGATCCCCTCTCACCTTCAATCCATCCACTCATCCATCATCTATCAATCATCCATCTATCTATCATCTATCCATCCACCTATCATGTGTCCATCCACTATCTATCCATCTATCATCTACCTATCATCTACCAATCTATCATTTATCCATCCAACCATCCATCCATCATCCTACTAGTTCTGTCTCCATGTAATAAACAGGGACCCCACCTCTGCCTGCCAACGACCTTCAACTGGGTCATGGACATGGGCCATTTCCGTACAATGCTTAGCCATGGAGGCCCAAGCTCTATCTGTCTCCCACGAGACAATTTCTCCCATCACCTGGACCACCCAAACAGCCTCCTACCAGGGTCACAAGCTCCTCTGCTGATGTCCTAGTGGCTGGCACCATGGATGTCCCAGACTTCCATTCACCATCTGGGTCTGACTGAAGGCCTGTATCCCGAGCATTCCTGGAATAGAATGAGGAACTGTAAGGCCAACGGGTCTGTGGAGAATCCAATGCACCAGGCTGGCCCTGTCACAGTTTACCATAGTAAGCTTACCCCAGAACAGGCAACAGAAACAAAAACAGCCACCCTACTGCCCCCATGGCCACAATCCACTCCCCCCACGTCACTTGCAATTTCACGTTCCAGCTGGTCCCAACTCGGGATGCGTCTTACATCCTTGTTTAATTGGTAGTTGCTTTTCTTTCTTACTGTTACACATAACGTATCATGCAACTGATGGTGTCTCAGATTTGAAGAGTTAGGGTATGTGCAGGTCAGGTATGAGGCCCTAACCTGATTCCCAAAAGAATGACAGAGGTGGCGCAGTGGGGCATGCCTTATATAGGGGGTAGAGTCTAAAATCCAGTACAGCCAAAATCACCTGCAATGGGGCTTCTTTGGCTAAACAAACGTACATGGTCAGCTGGACATGTTCTATGTTGGACAGAAACACTTCAAACAGCAGGAACACAGGTTGAGGGGTGGAAAAAAAGGCTGACATAACAAAGCATTAGCAATCATGAAATCTGGGAAATAAGCTTATTGAGTTTTATTATATTAGTCTTTCTATGTGACTGTATCCAGGCTGGAGTACAGTGGCACAATCTCGGCTCACTGTAACTGCCGCCTCCTGGGTTCAAGTGATTCTCCTGCCTCAATCTCCCAGGTACTGGGATTACAGGCGCCTACCACAATGCCTGGCTAATTTTTGTATTTTTAGTGGAGACAGGGTTTCACCACATGGGCTGGGCTGGTCTCAAACTCCTGACCTCAGGTAATCCACCCACCTCGGCCTCCCAAAGTGCTAACATTACAGGTGTGAGCCACCGCACTCAGCCAACTGAACACTTTTATAATAAAAAGTTAAACACTTTCATTTTTTGTTTTAAAGTAATTTCAAACTTACAGAAAAATTACTCAAATCATACTAAGAATTCGCTCAACTCACCACTATTAACACATTGCCAAGTTTACAGTAACATTCTGTCTCTATCCATACACATACACGGATGCAGGCACACGCACGCAAACACATCATCTCATCATCTTTTTCTAAACCATTCAGACAGTTAAAGGCCTACCACAGCGGCTCACACCTGTAATCCCAGCACCTTGGGAGGTTGAGGTGGGTGGATCACCTGAGGTCAGGAGTTTGAAACCAGCCTGGTCAACACGGTGAAAACCCATCTCTACTAAAAATACAAAAATTTGCCAGGCATGGTGGTGCATGCCTATAATCCCAGATACTCAGGAGGCTGAGACAGGAGAATCACTTAAACCCAGGAGGCAGAGGCTGCAGATCACGCCACTGCACTCCAGCCTGGACAACAGAGCAAGACGCTGTCCCCCGCAAAAAAAGGTAAGATGTAGGCGCTACATATCTTTACCCCCACCAAAACTGGGGGTATCCCCTTATAATCCAGGACATGCTCTTATGTAACTGGAGCACAATTTTCCAAAACAAGAATGAATGTTATTAGCATGCATCTGCAGTCATATACAAATTACATCAACTGTTCCAGTGACGCTCTTTAATAGTAATTTGAAGAAATGATTTAAAACATCTAACTTTTAAAAAGATGTTTGCAAAAAGTTCATAAAGAGAAGAATGAGACCAGGCATGGTGGCTCACTCCTATAATATCAGCATTCTGGGAGGCTGAGGCAGAAGAATCACTTGAGCTCAGGAGCTGGAGACCAGCCTGGGCAACATGGTGAAACCCCATCTCTGCAAAAAATACAAAAATCTGTTGGGCATGGTGGAGCATGCCTATAGTCACAGCTACTCGGGAGGCTGAGGCAGTAGCATCACCTGAACCCAGTAGATCAAGACTGCAGTGAGCTACGATTGTGCCACTGCACTCCAGCCTTAACTACAGAGTGAAAGCCTGTCTCCAAAAAGCCAAAAAGACGATGCATATTAGATGCAAAAAGCCAAAAACGATAACGTATATTAGATGATTATTTGAAAGAAAGATTCTTCAAATAATCCCCAATAAGATGTTGACAATGGGCAGAAAAAGATGTATAAAAAGAAAACTACAAGGTGGCTGGGCATGGTGGCTCACATCTGTAATCCCAGCACTTTGGGAGGCCGATGTGGGTGGATCACCTGAGGTCAGGAGTTCAAGACCAGCCTGGCCAACATGGCAAAACCCTGTCTCTACCAAAAATACAAAAATTAGCCCGGCATGATGGTGCATGCCTGTAATCCAAGCTACCTGGGAGACTGAAGCAGGAGAATCGCTTGAACCCAGGAGGCAGAGGATGTAGTGAGCTGAGATCACACCACTGCACTCCAGCCTGGGAGACAGAGTGAGACTCCAACTGAAAAAGAAAAGACCAGAAGGAGGTGTACTAAAATGGTGAAAGTGGTTGCCTCTGTGTTTCCTTACTACTGATCTGCACATGTGTTTTTTCAACTCATGTTTCCTATGGTAAGACAGTATTATTTTTCTAAGGAGTGGGGGATGGGAGGGGAACAATGTCAATAATAACTGTCACCTAATATTTTTAAAAGCCAAATCTGTCACGTTGAACATGATGTCTATGCAAGAAATTAAATACACACATACCCAAATCTGAAGCTAAAGCAAGAGCAGTCCAGTATATGGCTATCCCAGGCCAAGCCTTCTGCAGATATTTAAGCTGCTCATGGCTCATGTGTTTATCACATTCAAGGTGATGGACTTGGGGAACAGAGTTGGTGTCTCTCAGACAACATGGCCAGCACAGGCAGATTCAAGACAACTATGCAGAAGAGCAAAGGAGAGAGAAGTCAAGCAGGGAGCTCAGCGTGATCATTCATTCATTCATTCATTCATTCATTCCCCACCACCTCCCTGAGGTCTCAGGGGTCCAGCCTTACCCTGTGATCCACCAGAAGGTGATACTGGACAGGAAGGAGGCGCTGGACTCTGGGCAAAGATTCCTGTGGAAAGAAAGAACAGGTTAGGGCGGAAGAAGGAAAGAAACGATTCAACTTTTCATCTAGGCCAGAGCTTTGCAAGGAGTAGTCAGCTGTCCATTCTTCCTTCAAGAGGACCAGTGTCCACTTCATACCATTCTGCACCCCAAAAGGATTCTCTCCCAAGCCCCAGGAGAAAGAAATTCATAGCACCTCATCTCGTTTCATTCAACAGAGTGTCTACCAGGTGCAACCACAATACAACAAGCTATCAACCTGCCTTATCTTCTATCCCCACAGCAACCCTAGAAGCTGGTGTTACCATCATCCCCACTTCACTCATTCATTCAACAAATATTTTCTGAGCACCTACTATGTGCTAGGCACCCTATAAGGTACTACAGGGTTAACTTAGATCTCCATGACAACCTCCTAAGCTGGTATTACTATTGTCCTCATTTTCCTCATTCAGGCATTGAATATTTATTGACCACCTACTCTGAGCTAGACATGCTACCAAAAACTTACATGCTTGCATTATTTTATATCCTCATGGAATTCTATAAACCTAGTATTACTATTATTTCCACTTCATTCATTCATCCAACAAATATTTCCTGAGCACCATCCATGTGTCAAGCACCGTGCACACAAATCTAAACAAACAGCAATGACCCCTGCCTGCATGGAGCTTGTGGTCCACTGCAGTAATCATCAGTAATACCTGCCAAGATTCTCTACTATTAATAGCTAGCTCTGGGCCGGGCGCGGTGGCTCAAGCCTGTAATCCCAGCACTTTGGGAGGCCGAGGCGGGTGGATCACGAGGTCAAAAGATCGAGACCATCCTGGTCAACATGGTGAAACCCCGTCTCTACTAAAAATACAAAACATTAGCTGGGCATGGTGGCACGTGCCTGTAATCCCAGCTACTCAGGAGGCTGAGGCAGGAGAATTGCCTGAACCCAGGAGGCGGAGGTTGCAGTGAGCCGAGATCGCGCCATTGCATTCCAGCCTGGGTAACAAGAGTGAAACTCCGTCTAAAAAAAAAAAAAAAAAAAAATAGCTAGCTCTGTTCTAAGTGCTTTACACAAATTACCCTATCTAATCTTCATCCCCAACTCACAAGGTAGGTGAAAGTATTATATCATCCCTGTTTTGCAGCTGAAAGAAACTTGGGACCAGAGATGAAATGATTTGTTCAAGGTCCCACAGCTAAAAGTGCTGGAGACAGGACGTTAGCCCCAAAAAGTCAGGCTCCAAGGAGACATGCGTCAAATGATCACACAAAGAAATGCAAAACTGCAACTTCTGAGCCTTGATATGTGTCCTGAAGGTAGAGAAATATTACCAATGAGACAAAGTCAGCACATGAAGGTTGATCTGGTGTACCAAGGTCAGAGAAGCTCCCCCAAGGAAGACAGTCAGGCTGGCACCTGAAAGATGAGTAGAGGAGAACTAAGTAGCGAGGAAAGGAAAGGCATTCCCAGCAGACAGCAGCGTGTGCAAAGGCCTGGTGGTAGAAGGAAGCACGGCAGATTCCAGGAACCAAGAGGGGGCCTGAGCTGTCTACACTGAAGGCTGTGCACAGTCTACACTGCAGGCTGCATATTTTGTTATTCATTCTAAGGGCAAGGGAAAGTATTGAGAGATTCTAAGCAAGCTATTAAATAACTTATTTCCCAGAGGCATGAAGTGAGCCCCAAACCAACATACAGGCAAGGAAAGAAACCAACACAGAGTCCTGGGATGACAGACCAAGTCTGGCTTTCAACACAGATGCATTCGAGTCAAAATTCTGAAACACAAGCTTTAAGTAGGAGAGGAAGAAAGGTCACCATGTAGCAATGAGAGCTTTAGCCAAGGACTCCACTCAAAGTCCCAGCCTTGTGCAGAGATAAGGCATTTACAGAGCCCAATAAGGCAGCATGCTCAAGTGGTTTTCCATCCAAGGCTGGGTGTGCTTTTAAAGAAATACTGTATCCTGGTGGGGTGTGGTGGTTCACACCTGTAATCTGAGTACTTTGGGAGACCAAGGCGGGCAGATCACTTGAGGTCAGGAGTTGGAGACCAGCCTGGCCAACATGGCAAAACCCTGTTTCTACTAAAAATAGAAAAATTAGCTGAGAGTGGTGCCTCACAACTGTAGTCCCAGCTACTCAGGAGGCTGAGGCAGAAGAATCACTGGAACCCAGGAGGCAGAGGTGGCAGTGAGCTGAGATCCCATCACTGCACTCCATTCTGGGGACCCTGTCTGTATCTAGGCCCTATACCCACCAGTGACTCTGATTAAGTTGGTTTGGGGTGCAACTGAGGCCCTGAAACTTTGTTTTTAACATTCACATTTTTCTTGAAAAAGTGGCTGGGCAGGATAAGCCAAGAACATTTTGTCACAATGGACAAGGAAACTAAGCATAAACAGGATTGTTACAAGGCCCAAGAGCCAAGCAGAAGTGGCACTGCAGGCTAAAAAAGGGACAATTTGAGCTTGGACAAGGAAAGTAAGTGCAACGGGCTGAAACATACCAGATATTTTGATTTGTTTCTTTCTTTGAGACAAAGTCTTGCTCTGTCTCCCAGGCTGGAGCACAGTGGTGTGATCTTGACTCACTGCAACCTCCACCTCCTGGGTTCAAGTGATCCTCCTGCCTCAGCCTCCCAGGTAGCTGGGATTACAAGCATGAGCCAGGACACTGGGCTAATTTTTGTATTTTTAGTAGAGACCAGGTTTCACCCTGTTGGTAACCAGGATGGTCTTGAACTCCTGATCTCAAGTGATCCACCCGCCTCAGCCTCCCAAAGCACTTGGATTACAGAAATGAGCCACCATGCCTGGCCAAAACCCTCCATTTTTACTTCAGGTTTTAATGATTAATTTCACGTTATAATGTGAAAAGTAATGAGTCTCTAGCAGTCTTATCCCAAAAACTGGGGTTGATTATAAAAGCACTACTTTGCTCAGTTCCATTTTCCTTCAAATCACCTATTTTGAGTAAATGCACTAGTTTCATTTTCCACCCTTGTATAGGGGTGGTAAATACTACTAGGAAAAAAACTGTAATTAGCACACAGTACAAATTCAAGGTTTCCAACCTAAGCATAAGCATTGCTTCGTAATTTTTTTTACCCATCCCAGGTTACAGTCTCCTATTACCCCAAAATGAAATCTCAAATGTCCTCCATTCTGCATAAAACCCATGCTGGCCCCTCAGTGGAAAACATCAACCATGAATTATGGGTCTCTTCACTTTACCTTCACACCACCGATTTCTATTGCGCTGACTGTGCTTATCACCATGTATGTCTAGCATTAGACTGGACTCCTAGGGAAGAGGAACTCACATTCATTTCTTGGTCCCAAGGGCAAAACTCCAAAAGCGTCATTAAGGAAAGAAATAACCAATTCTTTCAAGTTCAGAATTCGTGGTCCTCTCAAAAATGGCAGTGCGTATTCAAGCTCTGCTTGTTTTCCTGATCCAGTTCTCTACTTTTGGGGCGGGGTCTTACAAAATAGGCAGTAAGTTAAAAATGTCTAGAGATTACTCCCACATGGTAATCTTTGCAAATAAAACTCTTAGACCTAACTTTATACTAATAAAAATTTCATGATACTTTTTTTTTTTGGAGACAGGGTCTTGCTCTGTCACCCAGGCTGGACTACAATTACAGCTCCCTGTAACCTCATCCTCCTGTGATCAAGCAATCCTACCTCAGCCTCCCAAGTGTTGGGGCCACAGGCACAAGCCACCATGTGTGGCTAATTTTTTGTAGAGATGGGGTTTCACCATGTTGCCCAGGCTGGTCCCAAACTTCTGGGCTCACAGAATCTGCCTGTCTCAGCCTCCCAAAGTGCTGGGATGACAGGCATGAGCCACTGTGTCCAGCATCAATACAACATTTTGTGTGCTGAGGTGGTGGCTGGATTGAAGGAAGAAGTGGGTACTCCATTTTCTTTTATTTCCCAGTCCTAAGGGGTTTTAAACACAGTAATATTAAAGTTTAAATGTCCTAGAGCTGAAAGAGATTTAAAAACTTGACAGTTTCACAGTGATTTCAGAGACGAAAAGATTTTCAGAGATGAAAAGCATGATTTGCCAAATTTAAAACACCAATAGAAGCAATAAGTAGCAGATGAAATATAACCAAACAGGCTTAGTGGAGTGAGGGGTAACAAGATGGCGACCGAAACGGTGGAGCTCCATAAGCTGAAGCTTGCTGAACTAAAGCAAGAATGTCTTGCTCGTGGTTTGGAGACCAAGGGAATAAAGCAAGATCTTATCCACAGACTCCAGGCATATCTTGAAGAACATGCTGAAGAGGAGGCAAATGAAGAAGATGTACTGGGAGATGAAACAGAGGAAGAAGAAACAAAGCCTATAGAGCTCCCTGTCAAAGAGGAAGAACCCCCTGAAAAAACTGTTGATGTGGCAGCAGAAAAGAAAGTGGTGAAAATAACATCTGAAATACCACAGACTGAGAGAATGCAGAAGAGGGCTGAACGATTCAATGTACCTGTGAGCTTGGAGAGTAAGAAAGCTGCTCGGGCAGCTAGGTTTGGGATTTCTTCAGTTCCAACAAAAGGTCTGTCGTCTGACAACAAACCTATGGTTAACTTGGATAAGCTGAAGGAAAGAGCTCAAAGATTTGGTTTGAATGTCTCTTCAATCTCCAGAAAGTCTGAAGATGATGAGAAACTGAAAAAGAGGAAGGAACGATTTGGGATTGTCACAAGTTCAGCTGGAACTGGAACCACAGAGGATACAGAGGCAAAGAAGAGGAAAAGAGCAGAGCGCTTTGGGATTGCCTGATGTAAAGTTCTTGTTACTTTCTGTTCTCCAGTGTTTTCCATTTCTCTGATTCTTCTTGGTCACATATATACCTAAATGCACAGTCATGTGCCTACGTCCTGCCTCGCAATGAGGGAGCATGTACCCCAGGTACATCCGTGAACTGCAGCAGCAGTTTGACTTATTGCTGTTTCAGCTTTAAGGTTGTTGTGTTTCTGTTTTTGATTATGTTGCTTGTT